CTGGCCACTCACTCCTTCCCTTCAATGCACTGTCCTCTAAGCAGTAACCAGAACTAGATCTCAGGATCCGCTGTTATCTTAGCCATGTTCTGTTGCTGTGACCGCATTCCCGAGCTGTGTAATTGGGAAGAACAGAGGCTGAGTTCCCACGCTCTTGAGGTTGGAACATCCTCAAGATCCAGGTGCCAGAATGAAAGGCTCCTCTTACTTCATAACATGGCAGAGGCCATCACATAGCAACAGAGAGAAAATTGTTCTTATATAATCATTATTGCTGCCATTTGAGGGTGTCTCTCTAGTGAGACTTCATTTAGCCCCAATTACCTCACAAATATCTTCCTCAAAGCAGAATCAATGCAAGAGATTTAGAAATTAAGTTTTCAATACATGATCTTTGTGTGTGTGTGTGTGTGTGTGTGTGTGTTTGGATTTTGATTTTTGTTGGGAGGGGGGCAGGTGTCTCACTATGAAGCCCAGGCTACTTTTGAACACCTGATCCTCCTTCCTCAGTCTCCGAAGTCCTGAAATTATAAGGATGTGTCATCGTTTCTGCCTCAACCCATGGACTTTGAAGAGACACACCCATTTAAAAATGTACCTCCACTCTTAGTGATGGTCTGTTCATGGCTCTTAACCTGTGGGCCGCGATCCCCCTGGAGGGCGTAACAGATATTTACAATACAATTCATACTGGTAGCAAAATTATAGATATGAAGAAGCAATGAAATAGTTTTAGGGTTGGGGGTCAGCACAACATGAGGAGCTGTATCAAGGGGTCTCGGCATTAAGAAGGTGGAGAGCCACTGGTCTAAGCTGTGAATGCAGCAGCCTTCCACAGGGAGCAGGACTCAGTGAAGGCGGATCACCCGTGACCAGAACCCGATGTGATCCAATAAAACTTGGAGCCAAACTAATACTCCACGAGGTGCGTGACCTGCTAGATAGGACTGAGCCCACAGAAATTAAACCTCAGTGATGAACAGTGTCTTAAAGAACTAAATTTTTACACGACACGGCAAAATCATTCTTCTATTCTCACTTGCTGAGTTTCCAGATTATAAATCGTTAAAACTGTATTTTTGTATGACTTCTGACGAAATAGTTTATCCTCACTGTCTCCCCAGCCCTCACGTCTACTGTCCCCCTACATACGGAAAAAATGGAAGTTCATGCTTCTGCTTACCACCAGTGGGGACTCTTGCCTTTCCCACCATGACCCAGACACGATGCTTCAAGTGCTTCATTACAAGAGTGTGGTTTCTTCCTCACACCTTCTCATGCTCATTCTCGCACAGGAGTGTGCACCTATGCACGCGCATGCCAAAGTGAGCCCTGGTATGGACAAATCTGTGAGCTGTTTCTGTTCTCACCCCAATCTCCGGGTGCCGCCTGTGCTTGGCGGGGAAGCTCTGAGGCTGTAGAGGGCCTGTCTACAGCCCTGTCTGCAGGGCCTCGCAGCGTCTCCTGCTCTCTGAAGGGTTAAAGTATCCTGCAAGGGTGAAATGACCCAGAGACAGCCAGCCCTTCTCTGAATTAGTCCAGACTCAGAGAGCCCTGTGTGGTCCCTTGCTACATCCTGTTATGAAGGATATTGGCTTCTATTTCCACGAGCCTGCTTTCATTCCCAGGCAGGGAAGGAAGTCGGGTACGGGAAATAGCTATGGGGTTGAGAGAAATACCTGTTTTTGTTTTTTGTTTTGCCTATTTCCGCTGTGATGTCTTCCCTGGGCCTGTCTGGTCCTTAGGAACAGCATGCGCTAGTGAGGATCCACCATTCTGTGGAGCAGCCATCCGGGTCAGCGCCAGAGATCAAAGGAGGAGGTAATTTGGGTAGCACTAAAAATAGGTCCAGTGGTTATTTCAAAACTGTTTTGCTAGCATTAGGGAGCAAATGTTGGATTTTGCTCAAACTTCCTGTCACTCCCACACGGTCTTCCTCGCTTGCGCTTGCTCCCTAGTGCAGTGGCATTTTGAGGCTATTGATTGTGGCCCAGAGACATTTTAACATACAGGGTTTGTAGGCACAGAGTAACACAACTGGAAACTAGGGAACACATGCATGCATACACTCCGTTTTCTATTGGATTCTGTTTCATTGCTTGAACCCAGAGACTGACCCACTACTGACAGGTGGCCCCTCACAGTTTGAAGCCATTATCCTTTCTTTCTTTGTCTTGGTGCTACCTCTTCAGTTCTATTGCCTGAGGCAAGTCACCTAAACTATCAAAAGACTTTGCATCTGTAGAGACTTGATGACCTCTTTGGTGCCCAGGGGTCCTGTGATGTGAACTGTTCCTTCCTCTGAAAAGAGCCACCAGTAGTCTTTCCCAAGCCAGTCCTAATTGAGACCCGGAGTCTCAAATTCACAGCTCTCAAGTGTCTGCTGGCCTGGCGGCTATTGCACTGTGGGAAGAGGCACTCATTGGAAGTGGATATGGGAACGCTCAGCTCCCTGCAAGATCAGTTGTACCACTTCCATAACGGTTCGGGGCTTCAGTTTTCTTATCCTATGAGACTATGACATAATGTCACTGTGGACTGCAAATGTGGCCCTGGCAGTGGAATTCTTACCTTGAGACTCTGGTGAGCTCAAGTTACAGGGGCTGCTGTTGCTCTAGTGGTTATTTAAAACAAAAGTCATTTGGTTGTTTATCTGGTTTCAAGGTCCTTGGTGATCAACGCTTTCTGTTGTCAGCCTCTTTAAAAAGCCATCTGAGCCAAGGGCCAAAGCTCCTGTGTTACAGGAAGGTCGGGCACTGTGTCGTGGATGAACTGTCTCTACCTGTCTCGTTCTGCCCAGGCTGATGAGCTCAGTGTCTTTGGAAACCTCTGCTGTTTCCTGTCTGAACCTCAGTGTGTGGCACACATGTGAAGAATACAATGTGCCACCTTCCATCCCGTGCCTTCTCTAGCCCTGCTCCTTCTGCCACCGTCCTTCCCTTCTCTCATCCTGGCTGCTCCAGTGGGGAAAATCCCTAATCCCTGGAGCTTCCAGTCCTTCGTCTCCTTTTTATCTTTCTCTCATAATTCTTCATCCCCCTTGTTGTTCCTTTTTCCATACTACAGCTCCCAGCATCCCTCTGGACTGGAAGCCGCAAAGGCACAGGGCATTTCTCCCAGATGCCCTTGTGTTCCCCGTTAAAAGCGGGGGTCGCCACGAGCCCCCCCCTTCTTCCCCTCTCTCCTTTCGTCTCTGCACACCCGTATCTTATTTGTTGTTACCCCTCCCCCATTAAAGTTCACCCACGTGGGACTGCCACGTGTCCGTGTCTCCTTCCTAACCCCGCACCACCGTGTGTCTCGCGTAACGTCTCCACTCTCTAACCCCGCAGACAAGAAAGGCAGAAACAAGAATAACACCCCCTCCTTCCTCTCCCATCCCTGCTTCCTTTCTCTCCCCTCTCTCCTCCCTTCCCCTTCTCTCCTCTTATCTCCGCTTCCACTTTATTCTTTTGAATTGATTTGGGCTGGGCTACCTTCATTCTCAGATTCATCAAACCCTTTGCAGACAAACTCAGCCAATGCCTCCTTCTCCATTTAGAACTTTACCACTTGCAGAGTTTTTTCACCGAAGATCTTCTTGGTCTTTATGCCCATTTTACAGATTAGAAAAACGAGACTCCACTGACACCCTAGATATCATCCAGCTACTAAGGACATATGCTCAGGGCTTTTCATGTGGGAGTCAGGGGTTTTTCTCCCTGCATACCTGTTGCTTTGATACTCTGGAGAGCTCTTAACATGGAAAGTGGTTACTGGCAGGGGTGAGAAACTCTTCACTACACACAGGCTAATTATGATGATCTTCTTCTTCTTCTTCTTCTTCTTCTTCTTCTTCTTCTTCTCCTTCTCCTTCTCCTTCTCCTTCTCCTTCTCCTTCTTCCTCCTCCTCCTCCTCCTCCTCCTCCTCCTCCTCCTCCTTTGTTTGTGAATCACTACCTACAGTTGCTTATAATAAGCACAGAATTTTTTGGCTTCATTCTCATCCTTGCTATAATTTATCACCATTGTATTTGTTCATTTACTGACTTTTGTCTTTTTCATGACGAAAATCTATGCTCCGGGCAGACAAAACCATGTTTTCTTTATCCTCACGGTATCCCCAGCAAATGCACAGTCACTGGTCTGACATATAGCTGTTGCTTGACCGCTACTGTCATTGAATACAATATGAAGCTCACCACCTACAGGGAGACTGGGCTGGGAAGTTCTGTCTTTATGCATGGGGCTTATTTCTATCCGTGTTCTTCGACCTGGATGATATTAATGTTTTGGCTTATACACAAAGGCAATGAGAAAATTAAGATAATTACGTGGGTAATTCAAGCAGAATGGACCACCCACTCTGACCTCAATTATCTGGTTATTTTAGGTGGAAGTAGCTTCGAATCTGAAGAACTGGAATAATTGCCTCACCTCTCCATTTAGTTTTAGCTGTAGCCAGATGCAGAAATGCTTCCCCATTGAGGCTGTGCGAACTACCACAGACAGCACCTAGGCAGACAATAGATTGCACACACACACACACACACACACACACACACACACACGAGTGCAAAGAGAGCAGGAGCTAGCTGAGGAAAAGGAAGCACTATCTGGGAAAGCTTCCCTTTCCACTACACCTGGCCTTTTGCAACCTTCTGCTTCCTTTCCTCAAGTGTTCTCTTCTGGAGTCAAGGAAGTTGTCACTTGACCTTGGCATGCTGGGCTAGATCCAAGCTTGAACCTCACAGGCAGAGAGGACTGGGCTAAAGACACAGTGTTCAGGGAGATTTGTTTTTCAATTCTGGTTTTTAAAATAGAACAGAAATTCAAGTCGAAGCCAGCAAGTTTGGCTGTGTTGCGTCAACAGTATTTAAAGGTGATATTTGGCTAGCCGAAGCCCGACAATGAAAAACAACTTGGCCTTCTCTATCTTCTCCCCTCCTTCCGTTCTTCTCTCCTCTTCCTTCCTGTCTGTCTTTTCTATTCTCTCTCCTCCCGTGAAATGATGATGTATCCTTTGAAAGTTTTCTAACCCAGCCTTGCAGCAGGAAGGATGGATGCGACTTCATTGCCCTGAGGCACAGGTAAGGAGGCCTAAGTTCAAGGAATCAAGACCCTTCCCCACAGTACTCACTTAACTGGGCACTCAGCCTGCCTGGCTCCAAGTGTGCCTGACCCGGCATGCTGGTGATAGTCACAGGGGGAGAGCAAGTGTCTCATGACTCCTAGGCTCCTCTGGGCCATGAGCTGCCTGGCAGGAAGCCCGGAGCTGCTGGTCTCTGTCTGCCCCTGTCCACACTCCAGAAGCACTCAACTGAAACTGATAAGCATGCAGGTGCCATGAGATGGCTCTGACACCGTAGGAGCCCTCTGTGAGGCCAAATGTGGGCATCTACAGAATCCAGAGCCCCCACCTTGGGGAGGGTACCTCTTTTACACCAGGACCACTGGCTCTCCTCTAGCACATGGCCCCAGATCCCTGGTCCCCAGCTGTCAGCACCAGCAATCTCATTTAGGAGCTAAGCTCTCATACTCCCTAGGGCTACACTCCAACTCTGAGCCCAGGGCCTGGTCCTCTGGCCAGTGTCCTCATAGTTCAGGTTCCCGTGACCAAGATGGGCTTGGTGTTCATGAACCCCAGCTCTTCCAGCTGAGCCCCACATGGAAGGTGTTCTATTTGCAGTTCAGGACCAGGTCTACAAATCCTTTTGGCTTGAAAGAAGTTGTCCCATATTCTGGTGGCCTCTAATCTGTAATATTCCAACAGATCACTCCCATGATGAAGTAATCGATTTCCCATTGCAGGTAAAGGATTGGGAAAACCCAAAATATGGGTTTGGGAGTTAGGAAATGGGAGAGAGGGGGGGAGGGGAGAGAGAGAGAATGAATGCTGGAATAAAGAAGCAGGACCTGGGAAACTGATCCCAGTAGGTTTTGGGGTGTCTATCATCTACACTACTGGGGACTCTCATACAGTGCTATTTTCTTGTATTAGTTACCTTTCCCCACTGACAAAATAGCTGACTGCTGTAGAACAATGGTCTTTTATCCTGTGACTTGTATTGTTTTAATAAAACGCTGATTGGTCAGTAGCCAGGCAGGAAGTAGAGGCGGGGCAATGAGAACAGAATTCTGGGAAGAGGAAAGAGTCAGTCTACAATGGTCACCCAGACACAGAGGAAGCAAGATGAGAATGCCTCGCTGATAACAGGTACCAAATCATGTGGCTAACACAGACAAGAATTATGGGCTATTATAGGTTATAAGAGTTAATAAGAAGCCTGAGCTAATATGCCAAACACTTTATGATTAATGTAGACCTCTATGTGTTTCTTTGGAACTGAAGGGCTGCAGGACTGGGCAGGACAGAAACCTTTGTCAACAAGTTGACAGAAGCAATTTGAAGAAGAAAGGTTATTCCCAGCTTGCACTTCCAGAGTGAGGAAGTTAAGGTGCAGGAGCTTGAGACAGCAGGTCACAATGGATCTGTAGTAAGGAAGCAGAGGAAGAAGAATGTTGGTGGGCAACTCCCTTTCTCCTGATTCTTCAGCCCAAGACTTCAGTGCAGGGAATGACACCACCCACTTTTAGTGTGGGGGTGGCCAGGTGAGCGTGTCTTTCTACATCAATTGACACAATGTAGAAAGTCTTTCACAGACATGTCCAGAGGTTTGTTTCCACGGTGATTGTAAATCTCAAGTTAACAACCAAGATTAATCATTACCTCACTAAAAAGAATACATAAGAGAAGATACTGTGGGGTCCAAGATCATCCTCACCCCTTCCTCCAGAAGGCAGCAGACTGGAGACCCTGGTGAATGTTCACATATTAAGGCTGAGCAGCAAGTGCAATCACTTCCCATTGAGTGACTGTCATGTGACCGGCATGTACCTTTAAGCACTGTTGGTGACACCGTAGGAAGCTGACATGACTCAGGCGGATGCAGGTTTTCGGGCTTCTGGGGTAGACCATCACTAGAGAGTTTGGTAAGCCCACGTGATGATTACATGATGTGACTCCATTGTGTTGACACTTGACATCTGCACCTCTGGATGCCAGGCTGAGCGAAGTAGCAGGGTCATCGCAGATAATGCAATGAAGCCAAGGGCCTGCCGCAGGGGCTCCAACTCGGTGCACATCGGTCACTTGGTTTTCTTTGCAGAAAGTCAAGTCTTTTAATGCGGCATTTTTGGAGTGAGGAGAGCCAAGGCTGGGACCACTTTCTAGCACCCAACAAGGGTTCTCTAGCACAATCATATTTGGAATCTGCCACTCAATCCTGCATGTAAAGGAATCACCTGTTACACACTGGCCACCACCTTCTCCCTGGTGTGGAACCAGGGTTAGACAGCCAAGCCTCCAATAGCACTACAGCTCCCAGAGCGTCTAGACGTGTGTGGGCTTGGCGAAAGACAGGGAGCACAAGATGGCAACACTATGCAGGGCCTGGAAGGTGAGGGGGAACCTCATCAGAATTCGGGAGGCTACCACTACAAACAAAGAGGCGAAGACAAAGGACCCAGGTTACAATAACCTCAACATCATTCTCCAGACGACCGCCTGTTTGCTTGAAGTACACTTGGAAGCAGAGGCCACCAGCGCTCTGCAAATATTTGTGGCAGCGTTTTCACATTCATTACTCTTTACGACAAAGGTAGTACAGTCAATGTTATGGAAAGGGTAAATAGCAAAATAATTGACACCCAAAACAGTGAAAGTCTCACCTAATTCCCCCATGCTGGAAAGAAACACTTGTAACAGTTTAGGATATTTATACTAGGGCTTTAGCCAAACATCTGTTTATACAGTAAAGACACCTGTAGGGGGAAGCGTGTGTTTGAACTTGTCTTTCTCATTTCCTGATGGGATGGGGTCCCACAGCCCATGGCTGTCTTTCCAGTTCAGTAGCAGCAATTGCACCCTATGCATGAAGTCTCCAACCTGACACCCAGATACTTCTCATTTGGGGTCATTATGGCATCTGAAAGAAGGCATTGTGGGTATAGGGATATTTTGATACCATCAAAAATGCATGTTTGATTTCTGTTCCTGCCTCCTGGTTTCTGACTTGGGCTCCCAAAGCCCTTGCAACCCACTCCTTTCCTATTCTAGGAAAAAATTTATTCTGACATTTACTATTGTTACAGTTTATAATTTGAATATATATGGAGTATGATTTGATGTTTCAATACATGCATATATTGTATATTGATCAAATCGAAGTAGCTAGTCTATTGACCACATACCCTTGACATTTCTTTATGGTGAGAACCTCAGCCCTCTCATCCAGCTGTTTTGAAATGTACCATGCCTTATGACAAAGCAGTACTTAGACCTTTGTGTTATACTGAGTGATAAGAACATGTGACACAGATCTCTTAAATCCACTGGAATTTCTTGGATGAGACAAGCATCTTGGGTTTTGATAATGAAATTCTTAGTGGGGGCCTCAGGATGGGGGCTGGTTGCCAGAAGAACCAGCATGTAATTGGATGGCTAAAACTTCCAGTGCTCACCCCCCCCCCCCCCGCCCCCTGCCATCTGGAGAGAAGGCACTGAAGGTTGAATCAGTCACCAGTGGCCAAGGACTTAATCAATCATACTTTTGTATGAAGCACCCCTAAACACCACCCCTACCCCCAGCAAAGAACTGTGTTTGGAGAGCTTCCAGACAGCTGAACACAGGTTCCCTGGAGGTAGAACAACCCAGAAGGGGCATGGAAACTTGCACTCTTCCCGTTTACACTTCCTGCACTAGCTCTACACATCTCTTCCATTGTGCTATTCATCTGTAACTTTTTCTGTAAATTACTAATCGTAGTTAAAACATTTCTGTGAGTTCTATGAGCCTCTCTGATATGTTCGTCGAAGTCAAATAAAGATGTTCTCGGGGGAATTTAATTACACTGAGTTCAACAGAGGAGGAGGAGATGGACTTTGATGTTGGGATTGGAAAACAGTCTTGTGGCACTTTGGGTGTCCTGGAACTACATCTAAGCAGACAATAACAGAATTGTATCTAATAACAGGACATTTGGTTAACATCTACTGGAGAATGCTTACCTGGTACACAAGGAAGTAGCACCTACGTATTCAGTGTTAGCATGTTGTTGAGTCGTGTGACATCAGGAAACACATTGACCTTCCACCTCACATGGGCCATTTCCCTAGATGGTTCTGGATAAGCAACACCCAAGGGCCTCCCAAGCACTGCTTTGTCTTTAACACTCAAGCATGGTACAACTCCAGAGCTCATCCTCACTTGCATCCTTCTGCATTGTTCAGCAGAGGCTGAGGAGGAGGTTGCTGGCAGACCGTGTCCAAAGAGTTTAAATACACTGAAGTCTTTTGTGGTAAAGTTGTGTGACTCACCCAAGGTTACACAGCTAGGGGGAGAGCTGCTCTGAAGGCAATACTCAGCCAATGAAAAAAATTAGAAGACATTGCTGTTATGCACACTGGATTTTATTTCAGTTCTCTCAACTTGATGTCTTCATAGAGCAAGACGGTTCAATCTTGGCTGTGCTTTGGAACCCCCAGAGCTTAGATGAACTGGTCCCTGCTCTTTTAGAAACAAAATGGGTTAATAACAGAAAATAAATTTTTTTTTTGGATTTTTTGAGACAGGGTTTCTCCATAGCTTTTTGTGGTTCCTGTCCTGGAACTAGCTCTTGTAGACCAGGCTGGCCTTGAACTCACAGAGATCTGCCTGCCTCTGCCTCCCGAGTGCTGGGACTAAAGGCGTGTGCCACCACTGCCCGGAAAATAAATATTTTTAATATTTTCCTACTATCATACCTCAGCATGTAGGCATCAAACTAGTATATCTTATGTTAGAATGGTCGATTTTAAAAACAACTGTTTGAGTAACTGATTTGAGTTTTCTAAAGTATCACTAGATAGATGTTTAGCTTGGCATCAGATAGAATTTCCAGTCGTTTCTGAAATGGCACTGAACATACTTTTGCCACTCTGTACTATTTATGTGAACCTCAGCACTGACGACTATAAAATCAAAACATCAACCAACTGTGGAAAATGTTAAAGATGCTCTATGCCCCTCAGTATCAAACATTCAGTCTAGATTTGATTCTTTATATAAAAAGAACAAACTCATCTACTTCATTATTATACAAATTTGCTTTCATGTTCAGTAAATAATAAAATTATATGTATTCCCATGAATCATTTAAAAATACATTTCTTTATGATTTACTAACAGAAAATATTTGACTTGTATATATATTTTATTTTTGTTTATTCATCTAATTATTTTGAGACTACGACTCATGTAGAGCTCCTTATATAGCAGATGACCTTGAACTTCTAATCCTCCAGCCTGCACTTTCTGAGTGTTGGCATTACTGGAATGTTTCTACACATCTGGTTTCTGTGGTCGTGGGCTTTGACCCCAGACCAGGGTTCATGCTTGAAGGCAAGCACTCTCCCTACTGAACTATAACCCCAGTCCTATATACTCAGTTTATATTACTGTCTATCTAGAACGATACACAAAATTTCTTGGCCAAAATCCACAGCAGAAAAAGATTAAGAAGCCCTGCTCTAGAGAACTCTCCAGTAGCTGTGGCCCAGAGTACCATCTCCACCCGCTCTGGCCTGAGTAGTAGGATCATAGCTGGCCTTGATACCTGTGACGGTCTGCATAAGCAGGGCTCCCATAGACTCATCGAGAGTGGCATTACTTCGAGGTGTGGCCTTGTTGGAGGAAGTGTGTTACTTGGAGGGTGGGCTTTGAGGTTTCAGATGATCAAGCTGGGCCCAGTATATCAATCTCTTTCTGCTGTTTGCCAACTCAGATGTAGAACTTTCAGCTACCTCTCCAGTACCTTGTCTACCTGCATGCCACCATGCTCCCTGCCATGAAGATAATGGACGAAGCCTATGAACCTGTAAGCCAGCCCCAATTAAATATTTTCCTTTATAAAAGTTGCCATGGTCATAGTGTGTCTTCACAGCAATAGAAACTCTGGAAGGCGATAGAGAGCAGGCAGTAGAGTGTCTAGGAAGGTAAACTGGGACCATCAAGTAGATGGGGTCGTGAAGGTTGGTTAAAGGCTTGCTTGCCTTGGTGCCCTTGCTGCTTTTCCCCATGTAGATGTAGCTCTGGGTAGAAGGAGGATGTGCTCCTACTATCTTCTTGACCAACTTGAGACAGATGCTAGACAAGTTGTCACTTTGAGATCTCAGGGAGTCCTTAGAGCCCCCAGGCAGGTAAGAGGCATGTACTCTGACCCTGTCCCTTCTAGATGGCTCAGAAATGCTCTCCAGATTCACCATTATTTTGTTTTTTTTTTCTCCCAAGAATTAGGCTGTGGTCCACTATTGTCTGTGACCCCTTTAGTTGACTGGGCCAGGGCTTGGCTCACAAATAATGCCCGTTAGACTAGCCTATGCACTTCAGGTAGAACCACAAAGGGCTTCCATACTGGAAAGAATATAGAGATGGGAACTCAGGGACTCTATGATCATAGAGCCCTTCAGTAGAGCCCTCATTCCTCCATTTTCCAACATGACCTTGTATTAATCTCCTCTCTGGGCCATGTTCGTTTCATCTGCAAAGTTCACTCGTCATTCATGCTTGTTCC